TTGAAACTGATCAGCGGCTGATTCCAGGAAGCCCGGAGCAGAGCAACTCTGCCTCGGGCTTCCTGTAGTCAGCCGCTGGTCAGTTTCAGCAGCGGCTGAATCTGGATGCCAGTTCCGACTTACACACAGATTTAACTTAAGAACAAACCTACAGTCCCTATCTTGTACGTAACCCGGGGACTGCCTGTATACCTTGAATTAGATACAAATCCAGGACAAGCACGCCAAAAAGGAAGATGTTATTAAAGTCTGCACAAATGTTATCCCAGCACCTGCTTTACCTTCCTGACTGTAGATAGCAACTAAGAGACTCCTGTTAAGCTATTTAGGCCCTACATTATCTTTGTCATTAATATGTCAGTTGCAATGAAAAACATGACCTCTTAAATCAGAAATGAATTTAGTTCACAGAGCTTTCAACAAGGCTAAGGAATGATTGTTCATTTATTTAGATTCTGATTTTATTAAGATGAGACTGTGCCTTTAAAATATAATGTAACTTCAGTATTCAAACTCTTTTTGTATATTCCTGATTTAGTACTTTGCTGTTGACAATACAAAGAAAAAAATTGACAAAAATACATCAGCTGTTGCAAGGCAAGTCCATATGCTTTACTTAAAGGTAACTCCGCCCCACATGCTGGCATGTTATTTATAAGGATTAGTAAAGCCATCATCCCGGTATTCTAACAAAATTTACACCGTTAAAAAACCATAAAAGAAAAACGCAAAAGCGCCAATGCCAGGAGAGAAACGAGCTGGAGCAAGAGCAAGAGCCAGCTGTGGGCTCAAACGACAGTGCCCCGGACTCGCTACTTTACCTTCCAGGATGGAGACAACGATCAGAAGCTGGTCGGATTTGGAAGCCATTTCTGCTTTGGGGCTGCCTGTGAGAGCGGGGCTCCGGCGAAGGGCTAGGACGCGGGGAGGAGGGGCGAGCGGAGGCTGGCAGCCCGGGGCACCTGGCCTGCGGGGGTGTCTAAGGCAGGGGCGAGAGAGATCCCGGCCCAGGCTGATCCCGAGGTTACTGGGTGGGGGGAGGCCCGGCCCTAACAGGGGGTCTCCACCTCTGCGGGGACAAATCGGGGATGCGCCGCGCCCAGCTCCACTCGCGCTGCCGCGTCGCTTTATCGCCTCGGACGCTTAAATCAAACCGCTGCCCCCGCCGCTTCACTTCCGCCTAGCAACCAAGCGGCACCGGGCAGGCTGGAGGACCAAGAAACACAAAGACTAGGGTGGGAGAAGAGAGAGCGCCGCTTCCGGTCTGGGATCATCCCCCGGCCGCCCTGCACAGCAGCGTTCACAGCGGCCTTTCAGGCTTTGCTGGAGGACCAAGAAACACAAAGACTAGGGTGGGAGAAGAGAGAGCGCCGCTTCCGGTCTGGGATCATCCCCCGGCCGCCCTGCACAGCAGCGTTCACAGCGGCCTTTCAGGCTCGAGGTCGTAGAGGGTAGGGAACAGCGCCGCCTGTGGCCGAGCACTGAGAACCACAAACATGCGGGAGCACAAAGCAAGAACATAAGAACCATCTAGCGCAGTATCCTGTCTTCTAACAGTGGCCAATGCCAGGTGCCCCAGAGGGAGTGGCCAATGCCAGGGACCCTCTCCTGTCATCCACCTCTAGCCTCTGACAAACAGAAGCTAGGGACACCATTCCTACCCATCCTCCTGGCTAATAGCCATTGACGGACCTAATCTCCATACATTTATCTAGCCCTTTTACAGACCCTGTTCAAGTCCTGGTCTTCACAACATCCTCTGGCAAGGAGTTCCACAGGTCGACTGTGCGCTGCATGAAGAAAAACTTCCTTTTGTTTATTTTAAACCTACTATCTATACATTTATTTTGGTGACCCCCTAGTTCTTATGTTAGAGGAACAAGTAAATAACTTTTCCTTATCCACCTTCTCCATACCTGTCATGATTTTATAGACCTCTAGCATATCCCTCCTTAGTCTCCTTTTTTCTAAGCTGAAAAGTCCCAGTCTTTTTTATCTCTTTTCTCCGCAATTACCTTATCATTTTTGAGTGCTCCTTTAGCATCTCAATCGTCCAGTGGCCCCACTGGTTGTTTAGCTAGCTTCCTAAAAGGAAGAAGAAAGGGACTGTGCAGTTATGTGATCCGTCCTCCTAGTGGTGTCACAGGGCCTGGGTACAAGGGAAATGCCCAGAGAGGTGGTTTGAATCTGGTTTATCCCAATGGGGACGGTGACACTGCAGCCCTAGCCTCAGCCCCAGGAGCAGCCATACCACAGCCCCAGCCCTGGAAGCAGCATGAGTGGATCATTCCACTCAGATTGGAGCCAAAAGGCAAATCCTTAGTCAGATTCTAATTTATGTATTTGATACCTTAGTTACTTCATGAAGCTATGATGAAGTTGTGTGGATGTATATACCTCTTTTAAGAGAACAAAAATTATATTGGGCTTTGAGGCTCACCGGTATTTTTTTAAATTGCTGTAAAATACAGCATTTATTTTAGCCATACTACAGACCTATGACATTGCTGTATCAAGTTTTTTCAAGTAAGAAACAATCAACCATTTGTATGTTTGTGAAAACTGGACTAATAGCACTGAAAAAACAAATCATCTCTCCATAGAATGGATTAAATGCTGGGATCTGTAGTGCTTGTTTCCTTGACACAATTGTCTGCATTTGGGGGTGGGGAGGGAACAAAGATATTGTGATGAAGAGGGTTAATAGGGCAAATTGCATATCTTTTTCCAATTTACTTCCAAAAGGGGCTACTCAGGGCCAAATGTTGGGAAAAAACCTCTTTTGGAACATCCTTTCTTCCTTGTGTTTGCTTTTCTGACATTTTTTTCGGAAAAGTGGATGAGTTCCTTGAATACAGCAGAGCTTTTCCAGGATACCTCTGTAGTCTAGATGTACTGTAAGGGGTTTCTGAGAAGAGATGCAACCCTGAGAATAGAAATAGTATTTCATTAAGTTTGTGCATTCTCTGAGGTTGGCAGCCAACCCTGAGCAGAAATCGGAGAATAAACTGTAAATATTTGGGGAAAATCTGCCAGTGTCAAGAATTTGTCATTGTTAAGGATGATTGTGGGTTGGGAATTTTATTTATGTGGTGTATTTGTCTATTTGTGAGAAACGTAATTTGAGTACAGCAGAATAGTCAAGAAAGCACTGAAACTATTTTTGAAAAGAAAACAAATTACACATAGAAATGCTTCCTGAGAGGTGTTGTGCAACTGCGGGGGTGTAAGAGTTGATGGACTTTTGGACAGAGGGGTTGAGTGGTTTGGGAACTGGAGGCAGAGCAAGGGATGGGGATATTGTGGTGAAGAGGGTTAATAGGAATGTTTAGTAGGATAAGGAAGAGGATTTGGAGGCTCAGGTAAAGGCAGAAACGGTAGAAATTAGGGAGAGTAGTGGAAGAAAAGAGGATGGGAGGGATTGGAAAGTTGGGAATTTAGGAGTAGGAGTATGTGAATTTTTCTGTGTGGTGTGTGCTTTGATCAGGGGCAGCCAACAGACTTGCCAAGCCCCTGGAAATCGTGGGGTTGGGGAGCTGGCTCCATGCTCCTGGAAGGGATGGGGCCTTAGCCAAAAGGGATGGGGCTGGGGCAGCCAGCTGCACCATGTTTACACACACACACACACCAGTCCTAAGCATGCCGTCTGTGGCTCCGGAGGCGATTTAAAGAGTGTGGGGCTCTGGTCACTATAGTGGTAGTGGTGGCCAGGAGTCCTGGGCCCTTTTGATTCACTAGGCTCCAGAGCAGCTGCACCTTATGGCTCCCCATCAGTGGATCTGGCTTTGAGATATGTGATGACAGCACTACACTTTTTCACGTTTTGATTTCCTCTTCCTGTCATTTGCTCTGGGAGAGCGTGCTCCTCTTGGCACCTCTGTGCCCCTGTCCCTCTATGTGAGGTTGGATCGGATGAGGAGTGACTCCACTGGGAGTCAAGTTCCTAGTGTTAGGGCCCTGGGCCGGGGTTCGGGAGCGAGGGAGGGCCCGGACCCCACCCCGCCGGCAGTGGTCGACGCGTTACCCCAAAGCATTCCTTTTTTTTTTTGACAATACGGTCAGGACCAGCGGGTGGACTGTGACACCGGCACTCCTGATAGTCCGGCATCAAAATGGCAAGAGCCTAGTGAGTGAGCTTCGGAAAAAAAAGAGTCACAAGGTAACCGCGCCAACAGCTGAACTGAGGAAAAAGGGTAAAAAAGGCTTTAAAAAACCTAAAACATTACAGTATACTGTATACAGTATGTACAATAAAAATGGTTAAGAACACTTTATATACAGTATATAATGTATACAGTATATATATATACA